GTTTTATTCATAGATCATTAATCTATCTTCGCTCTCCTTCCTCCACTACCCTGAGAGTAACAAAGGGCAAATACTGTTTTATTCCTCTTCTAACCCTCGCACTTGGCAGGAAGCCTGGCATGTAGGAATGCCTCAGTAAAAGTGTGAATTGAATATCATTTAAATGACTTAGTTGAGCTGAATGGATCTAGAAGAAATGCCTTGTTTTCTACTCCTCTCCTTAACTCGGCTGTCTCTCCTATAAAACAGTAGCCCTCTTAGAGCCTGGCTTCATCCTGGCAACTAAATGATGGAAAACCAAGTCGGTGTGCTAGATCAGGAATTGGCAATTCCTTGAGCCGTTAATGGAGCCTGATGAATTTACACTTCAGAGCTCTCAGGTCTGATGCTAACCCAGCAGGACTGACCAAACCCATCCTGGATGGGAGTCAAGACTGGCTCTTCTTTGATTAGACTGCCAATTCAAATGAGGGAGTGTATGTCCTCCTATTAGATAAATTAGGAGGTTTATTTAGAAGGGAGTTGGTATTCAGCCCTCCTTCTTTGAACATTTTCCTTAATTACAGAGGGAAAAGAAGTAGTTTTTAAAAGCGAAATATTCTGCTGCTACTAAACTGAGATTCTTTTTTAGAGACCATTAAAGATAGAGAAATGCAAAAAGATTAGATATTGTGCAAAGAACAAAGTTAAACCTCAAATGAGAAAGATTGCAATTTAATACCTCGTAAGAAGTAACTAACCCAAAACTGAAAAATGAAAATTCCAAATGAGACATTGCAGGTAAAACATAAACAATATTATGTAGTTTGCCTAAGCATAATAGCAAAGTAAGTTTAGGGTTGCTGAAAGCTGTTCCAACAGCCTCCATCCATCCTTCCTTCCTTCCTTCCTCCTGCCTTCCATCCTACCTTTCCTCCTGCCTTTCTTCTTTTCTTTTTAATTCTTTCCGTCCTCAACTGAGTCTACTATATTCTTAGTTGTGCTAAACTCTGGAAACTCAGAGGTAGCAACATTCAAACTTGGCCTTAGAGAGACTTTGTGCCTAGTGGGGGGAGACAGAAATGTCATCAAGTGTTAAAGGCACAGTGATTAGGAGTCAACGTGGCATTCCCAGGGACATATGTGTAGCTGCCTCCTCTTGTTTCAAAACTGCACACTAATCTAAGGAATTTAGCATAATTCCAACCTCCTTGTTAATCCCAACATGATAAAACTATCACTTTCCCCTTCCACTATTCTCAGCCATTTTTCACAGAAGCATTGGTCCCCTACTGTGTAATGAGCACTGCGGTAGTCAGCACTCTTTGGGTTGCAAGTGACAGAAACCCACTGCAAACTAGCTTAAGCAAAGAGAGAACTTGGTGGCTTACAAAATTGGGAAGGATCTGGAGATAAATCACAAAATGAAGGAGGGGCTTTAGGAACTAGGACTCTGGGACCGGGGACTCTGTGCCAGCAGGTCTCTCTCTGCCTCTCTTTCTCCTGGTTCTCCTTGAATGTTGACTGATCTCATTCTCTCCTGTTGTAGGCAGGCCAGAATTCTCCATGCGTTAGGACCCTTGATAACCTAAGCTTAGAAACTCCAGAGGAAAGGGATCATATCTTTCCCCAAGGTTCACATTATCAACACCAAGGACAAACTAGTCAGCTTTAAGTGGGACATATGCCCCCTCACCAACCTCATGTCCTAGAGACATACCCAGAAGATGGAGAATGAGAAATCTTCCCAGAGAAGACCAGAACAACAGCTATAGAATCTGCTGCAGGCTCTGGGCTGGATTCGGGTTCTGTTGCTATTATTTTCCCAGGACAAATATAGAAACTTTTATTTTAATTCCACCAATGATTGTGCTTTTTCTGTCCAACCTTAAAAATTCTGTCTCCATCGGCAAGCAACTCTGAACACACTGAGAACATCAGCAGATAATCCATGTGCATCACCTCTGATAGTTTGCGTTTTCAGTTTTCCACTGAAGACTGAAGAATCAAATCAATTTCAAAATTAAAATAATATACCTTGTAAATATTATTTATTTTTAGGAGAAAGTTTTGTACTGTTTTCATGATAGTTTTCAGAAAAGAAAACAGATACAACAGAAAGAAAGACAAGAGACTAGGGGTCTTTCTCCCTAATAGGAAGAGGGTTGGGGGTCTTTTGAGCAGTCTAACCCAATGCCCACCAGGAGTCCTGGAAGCTTTTTCACTTGGTTGAGCTGAGCTGAAGGCAGAGACCAGCAGCAATCATTTAAACATGGGCTAATGAAGATCTGGGGGAGGAGACACAAAGTACAGCTGACCTAGGTAACATTAGGACCATACTACTGACATTACTTACTCATACCAAGAGGAGTACAAGATGGAACCTGAGGGCCACACCCTGAGCGACTTCAGAACTCTGCAACCCATGGTAAGAGGAACAGCAAAGCAAGGACCAGCAGGAGCCAGACAATTAGAGAGGAATTTTCCGTCAGGTCTGTGGATGGATGTTTAGTGGTACACATCTTTGTGAGGTGGGAATTTTTAAATTCATCCAGGTGGTCAGTGTGACAGTAAGACACAGAGTCACCACATGCAGATTAAAAGCCTCTAACACGAATGCAGGTTATAACTGGATACTTTTGCTTGAATGAAAGAAAAGAGATGGGGCTCCATTGTTGCGGTGTGAAGTGTAAGGATATTAATGTCAAAATTAGGACTTTCATAAGGTACAAAATATTGGAATATGACCCCTGTAGGGATGGGCTTTCCTCCCTGTAAATCCAAATGGAAGTTCAATTCAGCATATTTTGGAAGGTACTGAGGTATAGTCAATGCATTCTTATTCAAGCATAGCATACTTGTAAACACATCCCAGTTTACAAGAACATTTTTAAAAAATAAAAAATCTATAGGTCTTCTCATCAAAAAGACAATGTTATTTTATAGAAAAAACTTGTTCTTTTATAAAACATAGGGTACAGGCGTCCTGTAGGAAATCATAAGTTCTAAATATACATTAATTGTCTACTAATTCAGGGGAAAATAAGTATGAAATTGAATGGCTAAAAGGAAATATACTCATATATCCTTACTCGTGAATACTGGTACAAAGCAGGCAACAAGACAACCCAACAACAAATTTACTGGTAAATGAAGACTCATGTGTATATGCTTTACTGTAAGTGCAAACATTGGTACTATTTCAATGACTAATAGTAACTGAAAAGCATATCACACTATAAAACAAATGTGAATACATTTTTGGACATGTATACATGTACATACACACAGTGTGACCTCTGTTTTCCATACTTAGTCTGATGGGGAGAACGTTAGGATCTTGTGATGCAGGATTCTAACTCTGGAGCCCCCTCTTCCAGTTTCCATCCCTCCCTCTGCACATCTCAGACTTCATCCTTCCTGCCCCAAGTTATAAAGATCACACCCCATTTTCCCCCTTTCAATCTATTGCTACTCGCAACAGGCCTCACTACGTTGTAGGCAACCAAAAATCTCTATGGAATTGTTGCAGGAAGGGGGACCCCTTCCAGGGCCCAAGCATGGGCTCTTGTCTAATGGCCAGCAGTTCCCTAACAGAATGAACCAGGTGATATGTGTGAAGTGCTTTATATGATGCCTAGTGACCTACAAAATGCCAACTGGATCTTTTTCCTCAGCCTCCCATTTGTACGATAAAGAGATAGAGGCACGGAGATGTGTAGTGACTTGCCCAAGGTTCCAGAGCAAGTTAGAGGTGGAGCCACAGCTAGAATCCAAGGCTTCTGACCCCAGTTCAGCATCTTTACATAATACCATGAAGACGAATTAAATGAAGAGAGTCCTGAACATGTTACCCGCAATTAACATCGGATAGATGCTTCACTTCTGACTAGAATATTTGCAGCTTCCAATTTACCTCATAACTTATAAATAATACCTTTGGCCCACATAATCTTTTCTAGATAACATAAATAGCTTCCAAAAACTCCTCTCTGCAAAGGGGAGGATCGAGTGAAGTGTGTCAAACCCCACATCCTGACTGTAGTCAATGTCTATGACAAGGAGAGAACATGAAGACACAAAATCAAAAAGGTGTCCTCCCCACCTTGGAGCTCTGCAACCTCCAAAACTAGATTCACCTACGAGCAGCAGTGATCAACATAGAATATCTTGATGAGTTTAAGGAAGAAAAACAGAGATTTATCTGACACACTGTACACCAAGTGATCCAGGAAAGTCCCAGTGGAAATTTCCACTCCTGTTTTCTACACACTCAGCTGCCCCAACTATCTCTTCCTCTGTTATTTTGCAGACTGACTTTCTTCTTCCCAGGAAAACTAGGTGCCAGCCTGAAGCTCGGTTCAGTATGTCAGTCTCTGGCTGTTGTCTACAAACTAAAAACTTCTCCACGTGGAGAGTATATCTATGATCCAAATAATGATCAGTTTGGATTAGAATCTATGCTTCTCTCATTAAAAGAATTTCAAGGTCACCAGCTGCAAAGCCCAAGATTTCCAGGAAATGGGATAGTCGCATGACAAAGATTAGGGCTATGACTCAGTAGAGATAAACCCTAAAAGACCTAGGAAAGCAAGATTGAAATGATTTCTTTTCTCACTCCTTGTCCTTCATTTTACTTTTCAAGTGTTCAGAAAAGGGCAGGCCCCTAAAACCCCAGGGAACAGGGAATGGAGCAAGGTTCTCCTGGCTTGATTAGGGTAGGAAATATTTTGCATCTGACTTTTCCCATTGCACATCAGATCAGTATCTAGGAAGTGCTTTAACTGTGTTCCCCCTACACTCTGCTCTCTTTGGCAGGCAGTAAAATACATCCACAGAAGTCAGCATTTGATTGGATCTGGAGACCCTCCTGGAAATTTCCAACTGGACATTGATATTTCGGGGTTAATCTTCACACATCATCCCTGTTTTAGCCGAGAGCATGTTTTGGCAGCCAAACTGGCCCAGTTATATGACCAGTACCTTGCAAGACGCCAGAGACACAAGGCACAATTTCTTACCGACAAGGTACCCGTGATCTCTTCCATGCCAATTGTTGAGGGGGTTGGTTCTCCTGAGGAGCCCAAACAACAAAAATACCTTCTAGCAGTAAATGCTCGTGTGCCTCCTTCATGTTCCCTCTGTATAGGATGTGATGTGTTGACCTACCTAGAGGCAAAAGAAAGGATACGACCATGTACATTTAACCTGTACAAATTCAGTGGCACACACTTGGTTGAAAGAACGACTCCTGCAAACAGAGCCAGGGATCTCGCCCACCGGCAGTGGGTGGCTGTGTCTTGCTTATGTGATCTCATACGATGAGACCATTCATGGGCTGAGAATCTCTGTGTCCTTCGAGACATTCTCGCTGTTATATGTGACTTACCCATACATGGCACCTAAACAAGAGTCAGTTGTTTCAACTGATGCATGAGGAAATGTCTATCCATTGTGGATTTACTTCTGATGTGACACTGTCCCGTGGAATCTCCATGGGTGGTTTTGACTATAGACAACTTTTGCCCTGACTTTAAAACCTTACTACCCAAATAAGAGATAACTCCACAATATCTCCTCCTATAGGTCTATAATTTTATGCTCTCTTTATATCACAAGAATGTCGTTATATGTCCAGGCCCCAGAGAGACCCCCACCCCACCTTGAAAGAAAACTTGTTTCTGAGACAATAGAGTAAAAGTAGCATCTGTCATGAGCAGCTGGATCTGGGCCACAGAACAAGGATGGACACACACAGTTCTTTATTATTCCTTTTTTTTTTTTTTTTAATAGAAGCAATAGCTCTCTGTCAAAATTCACTTCAGTGAAAGCATGGAGATGGCTGGATGCTTGCACATCCCTTCACAGGTTGCTGACATCATTTTTGCCCTGGAGAAGTGGGTGGGTCCAAGCACATCACTTGTAGTAAGGAGTAGAGCTTCTAACTTAGATCTTGTATCCATATCTTTTCTAGCTCCAAGCTCTAAGAAATGCTGTTCAGATGGGCCTTAATCCAGCAAAAACTCCTAAGTCTCTTGAAACAACCCAAAAAACCATCACTGAGTATAAATCTGAAATTCGGTGAGTAAAATCTATAACTACTGCTTTTTTTCCCCTGTACACATTGAGAGTTTATTTTTTCAGAGTTTTTCTGCATGCACTGAATACATTAAGCCAAATGAAATAACGATATATGTCGATCATATTAACACCAAATTTAAGTCCAAGAAATGAATGAAGACGGGAGGGCGCACAGGGGGAATAGGGTAACTTGCACACTCTGCTAGTGTAAACAAATATTGCTGCAGCCACCACTTCAGACAGCAGCCTGTCCAGAGACGAGCAAGGAGTTGAAAATGCCAGCAGACTAGGACCCGGCAATTCTGCTTCAGACACATGTACTCCAAGGAGCTGTGTGCACATGTGCACCGGACATGTGTGCAAGCATTCCACAGCATCACTTACGAGAGTAAGAAGCTAGAGATAACCCCACACCAGAATGAACCCATCTGCTTCAATCTTTAAAGTTAGAAGGACTGAATTAGATCTGCGTATATCATGGATAAAACAGTGTTGAATAAAAAAATCAGTTGTAAGAGGAGACTTGCTGTGTGATACAGGTCACAAGCCCTAAAGAGCATGTGAAACAATACTCATGTGTTCCAGGTACGCACATGTGTGTTACATACAGACGGAAAAGACACACGTGCCAGTTTCTTCCTCCAGGGAGGGAGAGAAGGGGATGGAATGGAGAGGTCTTCAAATGGAACTCTAACATTGCAAAACAAACAAACAAAAATTCTGAGTAAATGGGAAAAAATGTTAGTAAGTGTCATATTATTTATTATATGTGCTCTTCTATATCTTGAAATTTTTCATAATTAAAATTCAAAAATTAAAACCCTGATCATTGCCAAACAATAAGGAAACATACAATATAGAATGTGAACATTTATTCTAGAGTCCTATTTCTCAGGGAAAATCATGGGTAACAGTTTTTTGCTAGTTCTTCCACATATATATACATGTGTGTATACATATATATACACAGATGTGTTTATGTGTATATATTTTACTTTTTTAAAGAATCACATTGCATTTACCACCTTGCAACTTGCTTTTTTATGTAAAATGCATCTGAGACCTTTTCCTATCATAGTACATCTAGGTCTATATCATTGTTTAAGAGCTGACATTTATATAGATTTTACATTCCCCATTAATAGGTGTTTGTATTATTCCTATTTTTTATTACTTTAAGTTGTACTCTAACACTCCTATATGTATATATTTGTGTACCTGTATAAGTATTTCCACAGAATAAATTCTTAGAACAGGAATTAATAAATCAAGGGGTTTATCATTTTTAATTTTTATTGGAGTATAGTTGATTTACAATGTCGTGTTATTTTCTGCTGTACAGCAAAGTGAATCAGTTACACATATACATATATCCACTCTTTTTCAGATTGTTTTCCCATATAGATCATTACAGAGTATTAAGTAGAGTTCCCTGTGCTACCCAGTAGGTCCTTATTAGTTATCTATTCAAGGAATTTAAATGTATACTTTTCTCTTCACAATCTGCCCTTGAGTTGGAAATTCTCCTACCAAAGTGAAAATTAGTGATTTTCACTATACTATATACTATATACTATAGTCACTATACTATATACTATAGTTGTAAAAGTGTGAGGAGTATGTTTAAAAATGAAAATTCTTACTTATGTTAAAAGAAAAGCACATTGCCTCCTCCTCGTGAAAGTAATTTTTGTTTTAGTATACGCTGAGTAAGAAAAAGTGACAAAAAGCTACTCTGGATACAATGAAGTTTTGATATGGAATTGCATTTATTAATCAGTATTTGAGAAACAGTAGCAGAATCGTGTGTGAGTCCTACAGACCATGCCAGGTGGACCCATGGATCGCAGACCCATTGCAAACATCCTGCCACCCCTGGAGATGGAAACCACTGAGATTCAGCATTTCTGATGCAGTGAAAGAGTGGATTTTAGTCCTTTACTGACTTTTCACATGGTGGAAAGGCAAATTCTAAGCAGATGGTCTGTTCCTGGATATCTCATCAAGCGGACCTGTTCCCTGCAGCCCCCTGGGAGCTGCTAATGAGCCAGCTGCCTTGGAGCCCACCCCTGGGTATCTGATAGGTCCCAGGTTGGGGCAGCTAACCTCAGCCAGTGACGCATTTTCCATCCTATTTTCCGTAAGTGGCATCATGACCACATTGCTCATCCTCTGCACTGGAACCAGGCTGTATTGAGAAAGGAAACATGGGTGTTCGTGCAACACAGGGGAACACTTTATTTAACCCTCTCCTGGATCTTCACCCTCACATATGCTCAATCTTGAACAAATAACAAGTCTAGGATCTCAGATCCCCATCCAGCTACCACTTTATCCCCGTATTTCCCTTCACAGCCAAACTTCTGGCAAGTATTTACTAATAAGTATTTTAAATGTAAATTTGGTAAGTACTGCTGTCTCTACTCCCTCCCCTCCCCTTCACTGTCCAGTCTAGCCTCTTTCCTGCGCCCACCTTTGCCCTGAGGCTGATCTTGTCACAGTCCTGGGGAACCTCCGTGTTGCTAAGCAGAAGGGGACCTCTCAGCCCCCCTGGTACTTGGCATTGGGCGCTGTCCCCACAGGGTGCCACACACCACCCTCTCTCAGATGCCCTCACCCCTCTTCGGCCACCTGTCCTTCCCACTATTCTTTGCCTAATCTTCCTTCTTTGCCCAGCTTCTAAATGTTCAGAGTTCCTCCCAGGATTTTTTTGTTTTTAATCTTTTGTTAATCTGCATTTTCTCCTGAGATGAATCCAGTCCTGTGGTTTTAAATATCATCTAGATGCCAATGTGGCTCCCAAAGTTTCACCTCTGGGCTGGACTCCTTTCCACACTCCAGACCCCATCTACATCAGGCTTCAGAAAAGTGTTACCCTTGGGTGTCCCTGGTGGCGCAGTGGTTGAGAATCTGCCTGCCTATGCAGGGGACACGGGTTCGAGCCTTGGTCTGGGAAGATCCCACATGCCGCGGAGCAACTGGGCCCGTGAGCCACGGCTACTTGAGCCTGCGCATCTGGAGTTTGTGCTCCGCAACAAGAGAGGCCACGATGGTGAGAGGCCCGTGCACCGTGATGAAGAGTGGCCCCCGCTCGCCACAACTAGAGAAAGCCCTCGTACAGAAACTAAGACCCAACACAGCCAAAAATAAATAAATAGATTTTAAAAAAAAAAGAAAAGTGTTACAGCTCCCTAATCATAGTTGCCTTTTCCTCTTCCTCCATAGTCTGGCAACAATCTGTAATTAAATATTCTTTCGTGATTCTTTGCTTCTCTAGCTCATAGGTCAAATTTTACTTGCTAAGCGTTCTTTTTAGCATTTCTGAGAAACTATCTTGTCAGAGACTAAAAAAGGAAGTAGAAAATATATCAGAAAGGCTTAAGGTGTCATATAACTCAGTAAAATAATTTTATATTGCAGTTTTTTTTAAAGGAGGCCGGGGAGATAGCTGCTAAAGGCATAAGAGAAGAACAGACCACTAGGTAATGACAGATAATATTTGTGGACCACTTACCAGATGTCAGACATGATTCTAGTATTAATTAACTCGTTTACTCCTCCCAACAACCCTGTGAAATAAATTCTGTTATCATCTCTACTTACAGATAAGGCATGGAGAAGTAAAATAGTTTGCTCAAGGCCGGCTAGAACCAGGATTTAAATCTGGGTATCTTGGTTCCCACATCTGTGCCCTTAACCAGAATGCTTTACTGCTCCTCAAGAAGAGTGTTTCTTATTCTAGTTCATTGCCTCCTAGCTTTTCTAAGGTCTTCCGAGAGTCCCAAATCTTGGCTACCCAACCACTAACTGGCCATCAGCTTCTACCAGCTTCCTTTTCCATGACACCAACTGAATGATCAGAAACCTAGACCTCTGTGTTTCTCTGCACCATCTCCAGACTAAGTCATCACAAGTACAACCAACTTCCAGACACAGGCCTTCCTTCTGGAGTTCAGGAGGTGATGATTCATGAAACACTGTGGCTATGGTTTCCTAGGGCACTCTGTCAGTCATTTATCTATGTGTCTGTCTCCTGAGCCAAGCTATAAACTCCCTGAGAACAGAGACACCTACTATC